CCAGACACATTTTTTTTGAAATTATTGTCATTGCACTTTAAATATTTTTAAAACTAAAATTAATTTTTATTGATTATAATTGTTTCCAGAAAATAACCATGCAGTATTTACTATAATTCAAATATCATCGAAATTGTAATAATTCCAGCTTGAATTTATCTCATCTTTTTGCAAACGCATTGTACATATGCGTTACATAAAATCCGATGAATATAAAACATTTAAAATGCAATTTATAGGCTACCATGTTTTAGTATTAAGCTTCTAATTTTTATCTGATGAACTTTGAACATCGTTTACGAAAGATTTTAAAGAAACAATTAAATAGTCTTTTCTTTGAGATGTAAAGATTTCTACAGATCAAAGCGTTTGAAGTGTTTTTATTAAATAAATGTCATATATTTAAACGAGCACAAGTTTGAAAAAAATACTTCCTTTTTCTTCAAGAATATCTGAACTATGAACTCATAAAAAATTTGCTGATTTTCTTAAATACCTTTCCGCTCATTTCAATTTGACAGACATTCGAAACAAATCACGATAGCTATGCAATTTCAAATGTAGTTAGCTGAAACAGCGAGATTTATTTTAATGCTTTATGACGTAATAAGTCTTCGCTTTTCATATAAGTATTAATGCGTCGTCTTTTCGCTGAATTCAAAAAAGCATATAAATGCTATTTTGTTAGGGTAATTATATAAACAGCTGATAAGATTAATAATTTTTCCCTTTTTGATAATCATTATTCAAAAATATTTCTTTAATGGAATTATTCTTAAAATCATCAGTACTTTTTTTTTTCCAGCTTTCTTTTTCGTGGAGGGGAGGGGGATTCTTGACAGGATATTTCAGAGCTACGTTGAAATAAAAAGAAAGAAAATGCGTGATCTCTTTATAGCTCTTACACGTATCTTTGACACGTAAATTTTATTAAAAATCTTTTAAGGAATCCTATAAAATACAATTAAGAAAATTTTCTGCTAGAATATTTTTTTAGCAATGAAAACCTCTTTATATTCGTAATTAAAGGAAACGATCTTCAGAAATGATTTATATTCTTCACAAAAGTGTAACGTCTCTTCATAGTATTTACAAAATACAGAGAAAGGATCCTACATTTTTGCGAATTCAAATATGAATCCTAATTTTAAGCGGCTCTCAAATCGTTTCTCGCATCTGTGGTATCTCGTATTCTCATATAAAAGAAAGTAAAAAATTCAACATTAAAAAGGTTTCAATTGAATTAAAATTTGTAATTTCCGTTTGTTAAAAAATAAATGTAGGTATTAATGTTTAAGAATGAAGTTATAATTTTTAAAGATTAAGTATGTATTTTTGAGGGCCGATGCAAAATGATCCTGTTCATCTAGGTCCACTAAAAATGATTTTTAATGATTTTTTTTTATTGAGAGTTATTTAAAACATTCCAGGTTTAAAAAATTACAAATTATGAAAAAAGTTGCAAAGATTCGAGTATATAACTGTACAATTTATTATAATTTTGGTTTCTCGACTTTTTTTTTTTTTTTTTTTTTTTTTTTTTTTTTTTTTTTTTTTTTTTTTTTTTTTTTTTTTCTAAAAAACCCGGAATCATTTTTAAAATTCACAGGATTCGAATATCCTTTAAAAAAATACCCATTCCTGTTCCTTATAAAAACAAAACAAAAAAAAAAACTACCAGTATGTAGAAAATTCATGTCCCAAGTAGCACATGACATTGCACAGACGTTGCAAACTGGTCCGAGGAGTTGCAAAGTGGTCGTCGGTAACTTTTACGACGTCTTTACAACGTTACGAAGACGCAAGATATTTGCCGTTGCATCTTGGCAATTTATCGACGTCGCTGAAACGTCATGATATGACCTATTTTAGACATGGTCGTATTAGCACTTTTTTTTTAGTTCATCAGCATTACTTTTAGAATGAAAAGAGACTAAATCTGCCCTTTCAGGAATCTGAAGTCCGTATAAGATTTACTTTGCAATGTTTCATTACTTTATTTCAACTAAATATAATAATCTAAGGTAGATTCATCTAATGAAATGTAAATTTAGTATAAATACTTTTAATTTATTAAATTTAATTAGTAATAAAAATACGTAAGAATTCCGAAAAAACGTCCAATGTTAAAAGACGATGCATATTTAACGGCTGTCCAATATATATGGCGGAAAACTCAGCGACAGTCAGAAGCAGACCTGTACATTATTTACTCGATGCTTATATAAACGAACATCTCGAGATTTGCGCGCTTAGGCTAGTTGGCAAATTCGAACAACTGCGCAATTAATTCAGATTCTATCAGTTCTTTCAAGCAATTTGGTAAAGATGCCGTCTGAAGGCATTTGGAAAGACTGACTTCTTGTTTGAAATTGAATCAAGCAATGACTGATATAAATAATATTGCTTATATTAAAAGTAAATGTAATTCACTATCAATCAAAGAACGCATTGTGTATCTACTTACTTCAACTGCCTTCAGAGAGTGAAATTATCGCGAGAATGCTGAATTTGTGTTTATTTTGTGTGTGAATATCTACTCTACAAGAAATACTAGAATGGTAATGGTGAATCTAGTGTTCGTGAAATAGTATCTCTGTGGTCTATAGTGGTCTGTGGTATATAGTGCTCGTGAAATAGTGTCTCTGTGATCTATATTGGTCTGTGGTATATAGTGTTCGTAAAATAGTGTCTCTGTTGTCTATACTGGTCTGTGGTATAGTTCGCGAAATAGTGTCTCTGTGGAAATAGTTTCTGTCTCCAATCACTGTGGTTCAAGCGGTGCAATATTTGGACACCATTGTATTTTTACAAATATGTAGGACTCTTAAGCCATATTATTTTACTGTTTTCTTCCAAATCATGTTAAAGATTAAGAAAAGGAGACACCGGCAGGTTAAAAAAAATACGAAAGGACAAAAGTAAAGTGCAATAAATTAAAAGCTAGAGTAAAATTAACAAAAAAAGTTTAAAGGGCGCCTGTTTAATGTTTGTCTCAAAAGTCAAAAATCTGTTGGCAAGGCTTTGATGTTTTTCCCCATCGAACTTCAAAACAGGTATTCTCCGCTTAAATTTTCACTCGTATGTACTCTCAGATTACACTGTTTGGAAGAAGCTCTTCAATTATCACTCATCATCTACTTATTTGGTTTGTTAAAGCATAAGAAGATCTACGATAAAACACTTAATCAAACAAGCTTAAAAGAACAGAAAATCTAGAAAGTTATTGATTCATATGTTGATCATTCTGTCTCAGATATAAGGCACGTAAAATTATTAAACGACTAAATAGTTGTTGGATGTTTGAACTTAAAACTATTGCTGCAATACAAGGTATGAATAAAGTAACACCAACATTTTGAAAATGAAGGCCACTAGATGCGTTTTAATCCAAAGTTGCAAATTTGGTTGGATTTATGAGGTTATAGCAAAACCTCGATGACTATCTTCAAGAAAAGGGATGCCTTCGTGGATGTTTGGCATTGCATACAAATGTTCTCAGTTAGCGTAGAAAATTTATATAATGATGATGCAGATAATATAGAATTGTGAATAAATAAAAACTTGATTATATGGGTGTGGCTGCTGAGCAGCCAATACAAATGCAGTAAGTAAAGTAAAATCTTGGTTAAATAAGTCATATACTTCAATTAAAGTTCAAAGTTCATAAATTTGAAGTATAATCTTGGCTAAATAGTAAAACGAAATGATGATGAATATTTACAGATGTTACCACCGAACATTGTGATGAATTGTTCGGGGCCGTTTATGTGTTTGTTCAGTGAGACAGTTATAATTTGGAAAGACTTGTTTAAGACCTGAATATGTCTAAAGTACCACACATTTACATTTCTGCAAATGGGAAATGAAACTCATGTTTTGGCATTCACCAACTGTTTGATGTAAGATGTATGATTTCGAAATTTACATGTTTGCAACCTTTTATGCTTTTTGCAAATGATCCCTAAAAATTGTAGTTATTTACAATAATTTTGATTGCATGCAAGTGAATTTTGTTTTCATCGATTCGATTAAGAAGAGAAAGCATTTTTTTTTATCGACAATTCCTTCCGAGGACGAATAAAAATTTAATTTCTGTATAATTTTACTAAAAGCCGTGTCGCGACCGAAAATTTCGCATTCTGAAAGGACTAATTTATTTGATTCATTTCTTGAATAGGAGCTAAAAGTTTTCAACAACAAGCTCAACAAATTATTGGATCATGCACACTGTGGAATTCCCTATATGGAAAAAATATATTACTTAACAAATGGAAATCAGAAATTGAGAATAAGCGTACGTTAGGCATTATAACTTTCGAAAGAGATCTGAAATATATTAACTTATAAATTTATTTTGATTATTACTACTCGACCTTTTTTTATTTCCTTTTTACAAAAGTAAAAAATTAAATATTGCGTAAGCAGATCACTGGAGTTTCAAAAGCCTATTCTAGAATCATTTTATTACCTAAATCTTCAAACAATTTACTTAACATTTTGTCTTGAAATTTATTCGGCTTTGCATTCAAATGACATTTTAATTAGACACTGTATTGTATTTAAATGTCATTTTACTCAATTTACACGCCATAGGAATTTCGGCTTACAAGGAGATGAAAAAGAATGTGTGGTTAAGAATTTTTTGATTGACTAGTATACATGCTTAATGGTTTTCAGCTACATTCTGCTAAAATTTTGTCCTGTTTTTTAAATTAAAAATCCAATTATGTTTTGTTGATATTAAGTATCAAGCATTATGATTAATTTTGGCTTTTTTCATTCATAAAATATTAAAGCTTTTCCTTTGAGTGCTTGTTTTAAATGTATGCTATCGGTTGCTTTTCCTTACCGATTTATAAAACAAAGATTAATGCTTTTGAACCAGATAAAGCAACTGAATTAATCTTTAAGTATTTGAAGAAATATATTTTATTTCTTTCATTAAAACTATCAAAAACTGGTATGAAAATAAAGTATGCAAATTTTAATATATTCACTTTCATCACATTTTGATGTCTTCTTTGAGATTCGATATCTGATATGATTTAAATAGTTGATTGATAACAGGGTAAATTCTGAAATGGAAGAAGGATTTTTTCAGACATTAATATTTTATTTATACAAGAATAATTTTTGTAAACAGTTTGGATACACTTTCAAAATAACACTACTTTAAATTAAATTTATTAATATAAATATATGCATTATATTTTGATTATTTCATGTTATTGCAAAATACTTCTCATACCTTTTCGTTAATGCAAATCTTTTTATTTTTAATTCCAGCATTATGCGTTGACACAGCTGAATTCATTATAATACAAAACTATCACAAGCCACATAAAAATATAAGAACTACATTTAAAACATTTTAAACAAATGAAACAGGAAATTGTGTTCGTCTACATTGAAAATGTCATCTGCATACGACTTGTTATATGATTCATAGTTTCTCTTATAGGTTTAGACATTTTAATAACTTGCATTTAATATACATTCTTTGATGAGCGGAACATTCGTCAATTAAACATTTAATCGATTCTGCAGTATTACTATTTGACTGAAAAATTCTTCTCTGAGAATTCTCTTTAAAGGATTCGCTGGGGCGTGGAATATCAAGAATTCTTTCATGCGTGACATAGATGAACCGAGACAGAAGACGAACAACTTAAACAGGGAATAAAAAGGAAATCTTTTCAGATTAAGTTCCAAAACTCAAATTTCCAAAAGTTCAGGCGAGCAATTCCCTTTTCACGGTGAAAAATCTCGTGTCATCTCAAAGTCAAACTTTCAAAGTGGAATATTTGCAAGAAACTACTGAATCTTTATTTAGTTTTGAGACATTCAGAGCAATTGTTTTTCTAGACTTATACTTCATGAAATTACTTTTTTTAAGAGTAAGAAACTGTTTCTCAGAATCTGGAATATATTAAAATTGGACGTTTTATGCTTGTATAAGCAGCAACTTTTGGAAAGTATATACTCGGAAAGATGTTACTCAGTACATATTGAGACATATGTGCAAGCGATGCTTTATTTTAATATAAAAAATGAGACTGGAGACCTAAACATTAGTTATGCGAAATAATTCTGCTTATTTAAGCTTCTCGAGAAGAAAATTCTTCATTGTGATTTGTTAAATTTTGTGAAGTAAACTATAATAAAAATTAAAGAAAAGAAAGCCTACAATAATAATGAATTATCTCAGGTAACCAAAACCTGTGGAAAAAGAAGAAATATTACAAGGCATTTTTTCCTTCATTACTGGGTGCTTTGGTGGTGTAACTGGAAGTACGCCCAGCTAGCATTAGCGGGTCTGGAATTCGAATCCTGACAGGAAAATTTTTATTTTTTTTTTACTTTCCTGGTTTTAAAAAGTCAAAGTGATTGTAAACGTGCTGCTCGAAAAGGAGCTCCGCCTTAAACATAGTTACTCATTTGCAACCTGGAGGGAGCTAATGGAAAAACGAAATTATAGTATAGACTCAAATCATAACGGAATGAGTCAATTAACTTTACCCTTTCACATCGAAATCACCCACATCGCCCGTGCATTCACATATCGGCAGGCAGCCCGAAGCGCTTGTCTATTTCCTACCTTGTGCTTTCCTCATCCGTTATGGCTCATTGGTTTCAGAGTTGTTAAATGGCATGGCAATCATTCTTCTCAATCGACTAAAGAAGCTCTCTTATTTGAATGAGCCATTACTCTCCTTTGTTTAGCATCAACGTTCAGTTACTGATGTTCGCACTTGTGATTCTGTTTTAAAGGGAAACTGCGCACAGTGGGTGAAACCTCACAAGGAGTCTCCAAGAGAGAAGTTACCATTTGGCATGCCATAAATTTCTACTTGACAGCTGGGATAGAAATCCATTCCAACAGAATTTCGTATACACAGGCGTTTCAGATGTTTAAGGGGAATAGATTTTGTCTTTTGTTTCGTTTGACGAGAAAGAGTTAAACTCTATAACGTAACAAAGACAAAGTGTTAACAGACTGTTTATATTACCAGGAATTAATCCTTGGAATGAGTAGTAGAGGTAATCGTCAATATTCGAAATTCATGTCTTCAATAGCTCAAACGCAAAACTAAGATTCAGGACGAAACTGAGATATTTTAGCATTCTTGGTCAATTTAGCACGGGCACTGCCTGTGCTTCCAAGTGAATTATAGAATATACTATGATGATCCTAGTCTACTTAGTAAAATATGGCAAAGAGGCAGTCTTACAGAAGGTTCAAAGATCGAACTTAGATACACATCTTGCTAAGTCTCATACTACTTACGATGCATGCTCTCATTAGTAAATGCTTATGCTGCCATTTTTTCTCTCTGAGGTAAATAAGAATAGATATTAATTTCCACGAACTTTTATGTATAAACAATTCTTTCACGTGTTTAGTGTGTGCTATTCATGAAGTAATTTTAAATAATACCTTTAAATTTAACAAAAAACTGAAAAGAAATAAATTACTCATCAATTATTGGGCGTTAAACGTCTTCATTCATGCATGCATTCAAGAGATCTGGAGAAGATCAGATCGTGAAACACTTCACAAAATGTTTTATCCCCACCTGCAATTTGGAACACGGAAACTTCAGATACATTTTTTTGCTGTTTTGTTAGAAACGTTTGGCAGCTAGAAAGCTTGGCTTTAAACAAGCAACCAGCGTTCTTGAATTATTGGTATCAAGCAGAATGCTGGAGTGATTCTGCATCAAAATGGTTTCAAAAATATGTTTGAAAATAATTCAAAATTACCACTTCTTATACTTCAAAACACAGAATGCTTATATTCTAAATTTGTTATTTTGAAAATGGGACTCATATTTGCTATGCGATTGGTCACAAGAAAAACAACATGCTATAATTTAAAAATTTAAGATATATTTTTTTACGTTTGAATCAAGAATATACGTACTAGTTCATCGATAGCTTGGAAATTATAGAACCCCAAAGCACGATGAATCATTTTAAATAACGCTGTACGTTCGTATTAACCGATGACTGGATATCCTTTTACAGCAATTTAAAAACTATTAAAACTATAGCTCAGTTCATACATCTAATTTGTATGTATCTTGATAATTTAAGAATAACATGTTATCCGAAGAAAGATAATTTTTTTATACAATTTTAAAATATATTCGATTTTTGGAGGGTTTTATCGCGAATGCCTTCAGGTGGGAATAATTTAAGAAATTAAAGGTATACTTCCAACGTTGCCTGTAATTTCTTACAATATCACAAAGTTCAATAGTCATCTCAAAATACAGAAAATCAGTACAAAAATACAGAATTACTAGACTTCAGGGAAAGACACAGAGACTTTTTAGTATTGATTTATGTTTTAAATTTTTATCGTCTCCCTAACCTGCATTTTCTCTTGCAATACTAATATGTTTATCATTTTAAAATTTCTTTTTACATACCTGTAATAGCATCTTCTATACATAAATATAACCGGCTTAAGTGTTTGTCGCCGATAGTTTATTGGTTGCTTGCGTAAATGTAAATTGTTTTATTCCCCGTGCAGTGCAGCGCGTGACGAATATTGTGAGAAAGCAAAACCTTAAAAATTAAAAATACAAGAGCATGTGCATTTAACATTTAATAAATAAATTTAACATCTGTTTGTTGCCGATAGTTTATTGGTTGCCTAGCGTAACTGTAAATTGTTTTCTTCCTCGTGCAGTGCAGCGCGTGATGAATATTATGAGAAAGCTAAGCCGGAAAAATTAAAAATACAAGAGCACGAACTTCACTAATTTTTCTTGTTCTTTGTGTTACTGTTTGATCAGATAGCCTGCCTCAGTAAAAGTAGGCGGCCAGTGTAACTCTGATTAAAAATCTGGTTATAACCACGTGCAGTGCTGATAAGGACCACGTGTTTCTGAGACTCTTTCCCCTTTATTTTTCTTCTTACTATGTATTTCTTTCTCATGATGAGGAGGGTCCTTTAGCTGCCCTCGAAATCGATTGAGTGTTTCAATATACTTACGCTATATACAAGGTTGTTTTCACGATTTTGATTGTCACATTAGCGTGTTTCTCTTCTAGTCTATCACTTTAATTGTTACAAGTACTGGAAAAATATGGTAATTCTTTAAGGTACTAAAGAATTTTGAATAGAAATCACATTACAGCTGAGTTTCATACAGTTTCCAAAACAGCGTTTCTAAATAGAGTTATCTCTCGTAATTTTGCAGCTTCGTGGCCACCTCGATTCCCCGACCTAACTCCGATGGATATCTGTTTCTGGGTTTATCTCCACGAGATTTGTCAGAATTGAAAGATGCCATAAAACGTGAAGATAAAGATTCCTATTCCGAAATTGTTTAATTTATACAATATGACGTCATAACTCGTTTACACGAAACACTGCATATAGGCTGCTCAGAAACAATATTATTTGACTTGCGTTATATATATGATATAATTAGATGTATGCTATATATAAAAGCATGTCAACTTCAACCTACGATGAAATGTCATATAATAGTTATTTCCACATATCAAATATGTGTAAGTAACTATTTTATGATATTTCGTCGTAAGTTACATATACATATGAAATATTCCGCCCAGACGGTACAGTGGTTAGGGAAGCCGACTGCGATACCAAAGGGCCAGGGTTCGAATCCCGGAGGAGGCATGGTTGTAACTTTCAATCCCTTCATAGGAAACAAAATTGGCCCACGTATTAGGTGCCTTCAAAGTGACCACCATTTCTAGCTGTAGCAGTGGCCAAGGCAAAGTCGACTAAGGACCCGTAATTAAAATATATATATATATATATATATATATATATATATATATATATATTAAGCTTTCTGCTCACAATAACGTTCGTATTATTTAAAATTCAAAAATTCAATCAATTATTTCAGATTCCTTGAATAAATTTGTAATTAAATGCGCAAATTAGAATTACCGAAGATTAACGCGCAGCTTTACTTTATATTATAACTAGTGAAAATTAATGCGCCGCTTATTACTTTTCTAAGTTTGCAAACTAAAAAAATATAATATAAAGATTTAGACCAGAGGTGGGGAACGCGCGGCCTTGAGG